GTAGGGACGCCTTGGATTTTTGGTGGACCTGAAAATCTTAACAACACAGGGTCCATGTCCACAGGCACACATTCGTGGCCATGTACTGGAAGTTGCAGTAGAGGTAAACGAAGCCATGCTACGATTTACAAACAATAGCATAATTTTTTTTAAATGTACATGAATGAACAATGAAACGTTCAAATCTTAACAAAAAAAAAATTTTTGATTCCGATCATGGACACTTATTATTACTAGACTAGTAAAATATGTCAAATTATTTTCAGTTAGTTGACTCAAGTGTTTGACAATACTAAAAAAATATATATAACATGCAAGATTGTACTTATTTTTAACATTGCAGATGAAAGTATAACACAATTGACATGCACATGAAAAATGGACATACTTGTTTGGTAAAAATATTTCGTAACTAGAAAAAGTGATTTCGTTTTTCCTCAATAGGTATTTCACAGAATCAGACATGCATTCGCAGTGGTCATTGACAATACCAATAGCAACTGGGTAGAGACAAGCTGCTGAATTTATGTATACATTAATTTGATAACTCAGAATTCATTCATGTACTGAATTCGTAACATTCGACATGCATTCACAAGAATCAGAGTGTTTCATCACAATGTTTTACCATAATCAGAAATGCATTGACAACAATCAGAGTGTTTCGTCAAAGTGTTTTACCATAATCAGAAATGCATTGACAAAACCGTAAGTGCATTCACAGTGCTCATTCAGAATTAATAATAAAATGAGAAACATATTCACTTGGGGAGTAAACTTGTGTAATATTGTAATTTTATTGTGTAATATATATAACTAAAGTAATAATTTTATTGTGTAATTTTGTCTTAACATTGTCCGTAAACATTATCTTCGTAAATTACAATTTATGAATGAGTATATATATATTTTAAAAATATTAACAAATTTATTAGTGTATCAGAATATAATTAGAAAAATGTAAATTACAATGTGACTATTTACTTAAGAACAGAATCTGAAAAAAAAAAAAATTATTTATACGAAATTTTTTATTCATTAAGAACAGAATCTAAAAAAAAAAAATAATTTACTTACAGAAAAATGTTAATTAATAAAGAACAAATATTTATTTATACGAAATTTTTTTGTTACCATTTATTCATTAAATTTTTTTGTTAATTTACAGAAAAATGTATATTAATTTTAATTTTTTTTTGTTCGTTAATTAATTTTTGTACTTATCAGAAAAATATTAAATTGTAAGTATTTATTTACTTGGTGAAAATGTAAACATAATTTTATAATATGTATAAATGAAGAATAGATTTTGGGAAGGAAAAATATGGAAGAATCAACCATGTTTGAGGGATATATGGGTTTGTTTTGCCCAAAGTTGGAGTCTCATAACAACTGAAACAGCAAATTTCGAACCGTGGCTTAAAAATTAACAAGGAAAAAATGTCAATATCCCCATATCGGCAAATCTACAACGACATACCATCAATACAGGCCAAAATACAGTGCGATCTGAAGTGGGGGAAGGAAAAAAGTAGAAAAAAATAAAATCATTCCATTCATGAAGCATTGGGCATTAAGATCTACGAAATCAGAATGGGTTTGGAAGAGTTACCAGTTAATCGGTGGTGTATCGAACAGGGTTCGGTCTTGTTCTCTGCCGCCAGAAGCCTACTTCGGTGCCGATCGCCTTTGCGAAGCCGTATTTTGATGGCGTTGCCGGTGGTTGGGAGAGATCGCCTCGCTCGCTTCTTCCGTGCCCTAGGACCGTTAGGTTGTGTTGTGTGTGTGTGTGGTGGGGCGTTGGACGACATGAAGGAAGGAAAGAGATGTGAAGGTATTTTGGTCAATTTACCCGTAGAAGGGTTCCTCTCCAACCCTAGCAAGCGTGTTTTGTCGCATGTGACTACATGAGATTGTTTTGCCGCATGTGGCTCATATAGCTGTTGAGCCCTTCCCAAACAGTCCCTTAAGAATTTTTATACAAAAAGTCATTAAAAAAATTAATAATATATAATTCATATTTAATTTAAAATTTAAAAATTTGAAGGGAATTGTTTAAATGTAACTTTAGTCTTATATAATTTCAAAATATAAATAAAAAATTTTGTTTTCTTATTTTTTAAAACTAAAAATTAATTGTATCATGTGATCTTTTTAAACAAAAATTTAGGTGACTAAATATTTACAGTCAGTTTATTATGTAAAAAAGAAATTTCACATATACGTGTCAGAGAAAATTTAATGTGTTATGCATATTTTATGTAACATCTAAATATACATGTATCATGCTTAAAATTAGATTTGATTTTAATACTATTTTTTAACTATATTTACCACTTTCATACTAAACAAACTTATAAAATATTATATATATTTTTGTCTTTCCATTACTTTTCAACACTTTCATCCTAAACAAACTCAGACTAATTGAACTTGAGCTAAGGATTATTGGCATAAAAGTTCACTCAAATTCGATTTTAATGTCACTTGTAGTGTTTTACCCAATGTTTGCACTTTATCTCTATCTTATGTCCATCGCAACTTAATTTTTATATATATTTTAAATCTATTATTACCCAATATTCCAACTAATTAACCGCTCAATTTCTTAGATGAGACGTAAGGCTTTCAGTAGAACATGGCCCATAGTTTAGACTGACACGGTCTTATTCGATAGCTATTTTTATCCACAAATATATCAAACTATTCCTGTAATAGTTTTAACGATAAATATATAAATTTTAATCAATATGTATAAACATATACATATTTCTTATTTTATTAGAAAAAAAAGAGTTATGTATTTACTAATTTAATAAATGGGTCAACTGGTCCATGGGTTAAGTATAGATTAATAACAATTTTTTAATGATTAAGTTGGGGTCGGGCGGGTGTAAAGATCTATTCCACTTTTAATGCCAAGCTCAATTTTAATTCAACAAATCAATTCTTATATGTTTCTATTTAAGAATTACAACCTAAGGTAAAGCTTTAGTAAACAAATTTCAAGTTTTACAAAATAAACAAAGGGTAATTAATACACTGACAAATGTGATTTATTGTATCAACTCTAAGATAGGATAAACTAAAATTATAAAACCCATAAGATAAAATATATTTATATTTAATTGTAAATATAGTTTTTAAATTTAACTTAATTTTGTTTAATACCAATTAAACCATACATGTATTTCTTATTAAGAACTTAAACACATTTAATGAAATAACAATAAAAAAAATTACATAAGTCGTGAAAATAGTTAAAATTTAATTAATTCTAAAATAAATAAAATCAATAACTAATTTCATTATTATGATTTTATAGATAAAAAACAAAAGAACAATAATCATAAAAACCACTACAATCTTATTTATTTATTTTAACTAAGAGGCATTTTTTGTTAATTTTTTATTTATTAGTATTTATATACACAATGCATACAAAATTATTCATTATTTTATACGAGTCAAGTTCGAATTTATTTGAGAATCTATACCAACTCAACCAATCTATTGTCAATTCATGTTAATCATAATTTTAATTAATTAATGGTTAATCATAATTTATTAGTATTTATATATACAATGCATACAAAGTTATTCATTATTTTATAGTTCGAATTTATTTGAGAATCTATACCAACTCAACCAATCTATTATCAATTAATGGTTAATCATAATTTTAATGGCCAAACAATGTGATGAATGATAGAGACAACATTAGAATACAGAAGAGAGGTTGGAAGTGGAAGTAAAAGTTGACATGGGGAAAGGTAAGGAAGGGAAGTTAGAAGTAGTGGTGGTTATATAACAGATGTGCTTTAAATAAGAATCGACGTGGTCAATAGAGCGTAGATGAAAATTGGAGAGATGATGGTTGGTGAAGGGTGGAGACTTCATAACGATTATTGAGAGAAGTATCATGCTCCTCTTAAAAAGAGATAGTTGACAATTCTCTAAATCAATATCTAAGATAGTTGTATATATAATCATTTGATAAAAATGATCACTTACAAATTTTCAACAATGATTCATTTTAAATCATAAAATTTCATACATAGCAGGGATAATATGCTAGTTTAAATAAATATCAATAATATGTGGTTGGATATTTATTGAGAAGATAGGACATACCTATAAATTAATACAAAAATAAAATAAAATAATAATTATAGTACAAGAAATTTGTTATATTATTTTTCTTTAAATCATGTGATTTGTTAAATTAGTTTATTATTTTAAAATAATGTCATTATCATGTAAATAATGTTGCTATACAAAATATTCGTGGCTTCAAAATTTCACTATACAAATAAATAAATAAATTAGGTTTGAAATGCTTAAATATTTTTTTTTATGAATAATTTCAGGAGAAATTAAAAAATAAATTAAGATTTGACTATTATAAAAAAATAAATTATGAATTTTTAATTTAATCAATTTAAATCTTACTATTTTAATTTAAAAAAAGTTGACAACAAAAATTATATTTTAATCATTAAATTCAACAAAAAAAATATATTTTAAATATTTTATGTATATTTACATTGAGTTTAATAATTAAAATAATAAATAAAAAATATTTTAATCATTAAAGTCAAAAAAAAATATTGTAGATATTTTATTTATATCTACATTTAATTTAATGACTTAAATTTTTTATTAATTTTATTTAATAAAAATAAATAAATAATTTACATTAAAAATAAATCAAAATATTAAGATTTAAATTAATAAAATTAAAATTGAGGGTTTATTTTATTAATAGGGTCAAATTCTAAAATTTTATTTGTAATTTTTTCATATTTTTATTTATTTATTTAGGGCAAATAATTTTTTCATATTTTTATTTATTTATTTAGGGTAGTCATTTTACTTTAAAAAACTGAAAATTCACAAAAAACGGCAATTAGCCGAGCAATCTGCAAAAGTCACCTGCGGGTGACAGAAGTTTTATACGACCACTGTCTCTCTGTTTTCACGCTCACTGTCAGATAAACCCTTCTTCTCTAGTCTCGCTCTGTGCATCAATCTCCAACCTCGACTCGACTCGACTCGACTTAGTGCCCTAGTTTGTGAAATTTATCAATCTCGCCACATCTACTTGTATCTTCATTCATTTATTGATGCTTGAACTCGAATTCATATACTGATAATGCAGTCTCAGCTATCCGAGGCGAGGTTGATCTATTCCGGTTCTGACTTACATTCTGTTTGTCTGGAAAGAAAATAAGGGGACTGGTAAGAACTAAAAAATTAGAGCTTTTCTTGTTTTATTGTTGCTTTGGTTATCAAAAGATGAAATTCTCACTATAGCTAAGTTAAATTATTGATTTTCATAATCTGAATAGTGGAGTTTTTGTACATTTAAAGCTACATATTTATGGCTTTGTTTTGAGTTACATCTTGGTTCTTTGTTTGGTGCCCAGAAAATAAGGGGACTGGTAAGAATTCAAAAGTTACAACATTTATTGTTTTGTTATTGATTTGGTTATCAAAAGATGAAATTCTCATCTTACCACTGCCAGGCTAAATTGTTGAATAACGGTTTTGATTTTGGCAACCTGAATAATGGAATTTTTACATTCAAAGCTGTAAATTTATAGGGAATCGAAACAAAAAAAGAAAAAAAAGAAAAAGAAAAAGAATAAGAAGAAGAAGTAGAAGGAAGAAGAAGAAGATTATTGGGGAAAATGTTCTCTAGTAAACAATTTGAAGTGGGAAAAAACTATGTATATTCATATTTTGGAAGTCCTTTTAGGAAGAACTTTGGTTTATGCTTTCTTTGTAACTTGATTTGCATCCGTTGGGGAGTTTATATGCTCCTTATTTTTAACTCTCTTGTTTTTTCCTCCTAATAGTTCCTGTAAAATAGATACAGTTTTAGGCAATCATAACTGACCTATGGAATAGTTTTGTGGCTATTCACAATATTTCTTCAATTTCATTGCAGCTCCCAGAAACATGAGTGTATGTGTTATATTATATGTACACACACAGATATATAGATAAATATTTATATATAAAAAAATGTTATATAAATGTATAAGTGATGTGATTGAATCATTTTATGTTGAAGCAGAAGCACCTTAGTTGAAATGTATTATTTTTGTCCAAGGTTATCTGCAATATTCTTAGTTTTCATGGACTACTCAATGTTACTAACAAGAGGTCTGGAGAATTAAGGGAATAGAAGCAGCTTAGAGATGCAAGGATGAAGACACTCTTAAGAAACCGAGGTAAATTGGGCGCACACAGTTTTTTTGTTGTTTTAATCTTTAATTATTTATTCATTATTATTTTTTAACATAATAATTTGAGTAAAGTTCATACTATTAGGGATATTTCCTACCTCAATTTGTATTTTATATCATCTGTAGCTTTAATTGTCTATGCTTTCATTGCTGTCTGTAGATCCATGTGCACAAACTTTATTTTTAGTTTGTTCAGGAGACTTACTTAAAAGTAAAAAACAAAGATTAATAGTACATTTATTGTACACATTTCACTGGTTTGTTACTTAAGCAGTTGGGGTGGATTGGGTGGTAACAGTTAAAACAAAAACTAATGTGGTCACAGAATTTCAATCATCCATGCAGTACAGTTATCATGCACTTTTCACAGGTTACTTTACCAATTGGGTGGTAACATTCATCTAACAGATTGTAGATAATCCATGGTGCTGACTGTAGACACCAATTTTTCCAAGAGCTACTAATATTTGTCACGTCTATACTATTTTTGTAGGAGTGTTATTCACTAGCTAATTGTAATTCATTTGGTGCCACAGGGATAATACTTTACTATTCAAAATTCTGTCCCATTTTCACATTTGGTGTGAGGTTTTCATCCTCTTGCAATGGGCCCTCTGATCAGGAAAGGAAAGTCATCTCTTTTGTGGACGGGGGTAATCAGGAATGTTTACGAAAATTGGAAGGATTAAGGCAAGGAATTAACAGTGTGTGTCAGATCTTGGTGACCAGTCCTTGGGGACCTTCCCTGGAAAATGCTCTTACTGCGTTTGATGAAAACCCTCAAACAGAGTTAGTCATTGGAGTCTTAAAGAGGCTTAAAGATGTTAATCTAGCTGTGAACTATTTTCGATGGGCTGAGACAAAAACCAACCAGGCACATTGTCCAGAAGCATATAATTCACTACTCATGGTAATGGGTAGAAGTAAAAAATTTGATAATCTGGAACAGATTTTGGAAGAAATGAGCCTTGCTGGATTTGGCCCTTCTAATAATACATGTATTGAGATAGTTGTCAGCTGCGTCAAGTCTCAGAAGATGCAAGAAGCATTTGATTTCATACAGTCCATGAGGAAATTCAAATTCCGTCCCGCATTTTCAGCTTATACAACTCTAATTGGTGCTCTGTCTTTACTCCACCAACCTGATCTCATGCTCACTCTCTTTCGTCAAATGCAGGAGCTAGGCTATGAAGTAAGTGTGCATTTATTTACGACTCTTATTCGTGTATTTGCCAAGGCAGGCCAGGTTGATGCTGCTCTTTCTTTGTTAGATGAGTTGAAAAGCAACAATTTTGATGCAGATACTGTTCTCTATAATGTCTGTATAGACTGCTTTGGAAAAGCGGGCAAGGTGGATATGGCTTGGAAGTTCTTTCACGAGATGAAAGTGCATGGCCCCGTGCCCGATGATGTGACATATACAAGCATGATAGGGGTTCTTTGCAAAGCTAATAGACTCGATGAAGCCGTGGAGCTATTTGAGAAGATGGAACTTAACAGGAAAGTTCCATGTGCATATGCTTATAGCACCATGATCATGGGTTATGGCTCAGCTGGAAAGTTCGATGAAGCTTACAACTTACTCGAGAGACAAAAGTTAAAAGGAAGCATTCCTAGTGTGATCACATATAATTGTATTCTCACATGCCTTGGGAAGAAAAGCAAAGTAGATGAGGCTTTAAGGATATTCGAGGCAATGAAGAAAGATGCTGCCCCCAATCTTTCGACCTATAATATTCTTATAGACATGCTTTGCCAGACGGGGAATTTAGAGGTTGCTTTGGAGATTCGGGATGCCATGAAAGAAGCTGGCTTATTTCCAAATGTTATGACGATAAATATAATGATTGATAGGCTGTGTAAGGCTCAAAAACTTGATGAAGCTTGCTCTATATTCGAAGGAATGGATCACAATGTTTGCTCCCCAAATGCTGTTACATTTTGTTCTCTGATAGATGGTTTGGGCAGACACGGTAGAGTAGATGATGCCTATACGCTTTATGAACAGATGTTAGATTCTGGTTGGGTTCCAGATGCCATAGTTTATACATCCCTCATCCGAAACTTTTTGAAGTCTGGAAGGAAGGGTGATGGGCACAAAGTCTACAAAGAAATGGTTTGTAGGGGTGTTTCTCCCGACCTTACTCTCCTCAATACTTACATGGATTGCGTTTTCAAAGCTGGTGAAACTGAGAAAGGGAGGGCCTTGTTTGAGGAAATTAAGTCTCAAGGGTTCACCCCAGATGTGTGGAGCTACTCTATATTAATTCATGGCCTTACAAAAGCAGGTTTGGCTAGTGAGACTTATGAGTTGTTCTATGCTATGAAAGAACAAGGATGTGTATTGGATACCCTTGCTTACAACACCGTTATTGATGGATTTTGCAAGTCCGCTAAAGTGAATAAAGCTTACCAGTTGCTGGAGGAAATGAAGGTGCAGGGTCATCAACCGACCGTGGTCACCTATGGTTCGGTAATTGATGGGCTTGCTAAAATTGACAGACTTGATGAAGCTTACATACTTTTTGAAGAAGCAAAATCAAGGGGTGTGGAACTAAATGTAGTTGTGTATAGTAGTCTCATTGATGGCTTTGGGAAGGTGGGCAGAATCGATGAAGCATATCTGATCATGGAAGAGTTGATGCAACAAGGATTGACACCGAACATATACACTTGGAATTGTTTGCTTGATGCATTAGTAAAGGCTGAGGAAATTAATGAAGCCCTTGTTTGCTTTATTTCCATGAAAGACTTGAAATGTCCCCCCAACACCGTAACTTATAGCATTCTCATAAATGGTCTTTGTAGGGTACGAAAGTTCAACAAGGCCTTTGCATTTTGGCAGGAGATGCAAAAGCAAGGGTTAAAACCCGATATGATCACCTACACCAACATGATCTCGGGTCTTGCAAAAGCAGGAAATATATTGGAGGCTAATGGACTCTTTGAAAAGTTCAAGGCAAATGGTGGTTTACCTGATGCTGCTTGTTATAATACAATGATAGAGGGTTTAAGCTTTGCAAATAGGGCAATGGAAGCATACTTGCTTTTTGAGGAAACTCGGTTGAAATGTTGCAATATTTATACCAAAACTTGCGTCGTTCTTTTGGATGCTTTGCACAAGGCTGAATGTCTTGAGCAGGCAGCGATTGTGGATGCTGTGTTGAGGGAAACGGCAGAGTCGCATCATGCTTCAAGGTCGTTATGACATCTCAGTTTTGTAGTACTTGTTGATCATTGGCGGATAAACACAAATTTTTTTGGTAAATTGACACCTGCTAGGCACGTGTCATCTTGCTGAAGAAGCAATTTATGGCACAGAGCGCAGCAGTTTATATGAATTCTTTATCTCATCAAACCTTATAAAATAGTTGAATCTTGCACCCTCCAGAGGTACTTCCTAATCTGTTCAGTGAAAACTTTTAGGAGCATACGACCTATGAAATCAGAGCTTTGCACATAATTATCAGCTCATGCTACTGCCAATTAGTTACATTTATATTGCACTTCTGGTGGTAAAACACCCAATTTTGGCATGAATCAAGGAAAAGTTTTGTGGACACGCTTTCTGCCATTGTGAGTGCTATGATTATGGGTTTTCCACTTTGATATATGCGGCATTCACAGAGAATGAAGAACAGAAACAGCAGTCATGGCCAACCTTTTTCCAGTCCAATTTTACCAGCTATTGATGCAGAGTCCATTGTCGAAGTTGTTTTTTTCCAGTAGCGTTTGTGGTAATGAGGAATGCAGTAATAACAACACTAGCTGCAGGAGTACAAGTAGAACACATATTCACATTAATGTATTTGGGAGATGTCCCTTGAATTACTTGATTGATCATTTTCTTTTTCATCCCAAGTCCTTGAAGAATCCAAATTTTACTTCTTTGCCCCGTTTGTTTATTAGTATAGTGGGCATAAGTGAGAGGATTAATAATGTGATGGTATTACGTTGAAAATGAAAATTATCTTTATTTGTGTAGCGATATATTGTTAATTGAGATTAAATATATGAATTTACGTAAAAGTACTCGGTATATAAAAAGGTGATTTTGTTAATTTTGTAAAGATAGTTTTCAAGAGCAATATAAACCAAATGAATTTCAGTTCTGCTTTGTACAACTCTGAGAACAAAACACTGTTTTTTAAAATCTCCGTCTAGATTTTTTATTTTAAAGCAATTATCAAGTACATGAATTTTTTTTTTAAGATTTAAGAAAGGGAAAAAAATAGACTAAAAAAAGTATTGGCAAACCATTTCTCCATCTTACAAATGATAGGAGAGATTATTATTCACTCTTGTGTTTTAGTTTTTAAATTTTTATTTATGTATTTTTATATATTTGGTGAACTTTTTTAATTATTAAATTTATTTTATTTTTAGATGTATTTAAATTTGATGTACTTAAGATGTATTTAAATTTGATGTACTTAAAAAATAAAATATTTGTAATAATTTTTTTTTAAAAAATAAATATAAAAAATAAATTACTTTTAAAATACATTTAAAATATAAAAAAATTACTGAAAATAATAAAAACATCAAATTTTTTTTTTTTAAAATTATATTTAAAAACTTAAAATCAATAGAGGAGTTCTCAAATAAATAAAAAAATAAGTTTCTATTTTTAAAATGTTTTTTTTAATAAAAATTTGTTAGAGATGCTCTTATATTTTACACCACTAAAAAGTGCCAAAACGTCCCCAAACCTTATCAAGCTCCTCTCTCTCGCGCTCTCTCTCATTTGTCTCTCTCCTGTGTTGTCTTGCTCTCCACACCAACGCCGACCCAGCACTCCAAACCCAATCATCACCATTGACATCTCCAAGCTTATAAAACAAACAGAACACAACACAACAAACCCTAGCCCACCAACCCCATCATTTCCAAAGTCATCTTTTTGTTCCTCCCACTTTTGCTTTGGCATCTCTGCCTGTTTGCTTCTAGAGAAAAGAAAAGAAGAAGAAAAAGAAAAAGAAAAAGAAAAAGAAAAGAAACCTCCATGGACTCAAAGCTCTGTGGTGTCCCTCTTTCTGCAACACAAGCGACCCCATCAGCAGCTGAGCTGTACCCAAAGCCAAAGCTCTCTCTTTCCACCTCATCACCAGGTTCTTCTTCTTTTTCTTCTCTCCCAATCAGAGCTCCTCCTACTGTTGATTCTGATTTTGAATTCTCTCTATCAACCAACCGTCAAGAAAATTATAGCAGTAGCTATGAAAGTGACAGTGCGTTCGAGTCTGATGGGTTTGTGAGTGGTGAAGACGGGTTTGATACGGCTTCAGAGAAGCTATTTGTTACAGACCCAGATGATGAAACCCTAGGAGAGAGTAGGGTTGTTGAGGATTGTGTTGTTTCTAGGCCTTTTGTGACTGACCCAGATGAAGAAACCTTGGAAATATCCATGGAAGAAGAGGAGGAGGAGGAGGAGGAGGAATATGTTGATGAACCACTCAGAAAACAGGGTGTCCCGATTGCCATGTTGTCGAGAGACAGCGACGATGATTCTGTGGGCTCTGAGGAGGAGGAAGATGATGGAGTTTTGGGTTCTGTTAGGGTTCCTGGTATCCGCATTTTGGAGAAGACTGAGGTTGAAGGAGGAGAAGATGAGTCACAATTTGAACCCGTTATGGGTTCATCAGAAGGGTGCATTGCTTTGAAGGACTCTGCTAATGACTACGTTTCAGTTGAAATGATTGAAGATAGGGGTTTTGATGATGTTGAAGGAGCAACAGTTGAGTCTTTTGTGGTAAATGAAGATGATTTTCCTCAGGAAAATCCACATTTGGTTGGGGAAAATCAAGGACTTGAAAATTTGATGCAGCGAGAAAGTGAATCGATTGAGAGGAGTATAGGGGTGCTTAATGGAGTTGGTTTGGGTGATCATGCGGATGCTAAAACACTAATGGGTGTGGTGATTGAATGTGCAGGGGACGAGAAAGTGTTGGAAAGCAGTGAAATTGATAAAACAGGACCTCTTACTGATGAAAAAGGCACAATTTTGATGGAGTTTGAAGCAAATGCTGATGGGGATTTGGGTGGTGAAAAGGGTTTTACAGTTGAAGGGGTGGAAGTCTTGGAGGGAGAAGGGACTTTTGAATTGGGGTCTGATCTTACAAATTGTGCAAGTGATGAAACTATTGAATCAAAGTTGTTTGAGGCAGATGGATTGCACAGTGAATCCAATCCTTTGTCTATAGATTCCATTTATGACCCTGAAGTAACAATAGAAATGGAAGATAAAACAGCCCTTGATCCAGGCAATTCAGAAGATGGTTCATTATCAGAAGATGATTCTAAAGGTTTGGACTTTGGAGTATTGGACACAACCAAGCTAATTATGGATGATTTAGAGCAAAGTTCAACCCCCAGTTCCCTTGGAGAGAGTTCTGAAATACCAGTAATCGGGGACTCAGACGAGGAAGTGGAGGCAGATGGGGACGGTGAAGGAAAAGAATTATTTGATTCCTCTGTGTTGGCTGCTCTTTTGAAAGCAGCTACAAATGCTGGGTCAGGTGGCGCCAATTTCACGGTCGCCTCTGCTAATGGTTCTAGAGCCTTCTCCCTTGAGCACCCTGCACATTCAAGCACCTTGGTCAACTCTTTGAGCCCTGCTCTCCAACCAAACGGTCCTAGTCTTTTTACTGGTTCAGAGCTCACGGCTAGGACTAGGGCTAGGGTTGAGTCTGAGGAAATCGTAAGTGAAGAGGAAAAGAAGAAGCTGGAGAAGCTACAGATGATAAGAGTGAAATTTTTTAGGCTTCTTCAGAGAGTGGGTTTGTCTCCTGAAGATTCGATGGCTTCGCAGGTTCTATATCGGTTGGTCCTTGCTACAGGGAGGCCCTCAAGTCAATCATTAAACCTTGAATCGGCCAAGAGGACAGCTTTGCAGCTCGAAGAAGAGGGTAAAAATGATTTAGATTTCTCATTGAACATCTTGGTACTTGGGAAAACCGGAGTTGGTAAGAGTGCAACGGTAAATTCTATTTTTGGTGAAAAGAAAGCTATAATTGATGCATTTGAGCCTGCCACAACTGCCGTGAAAGATATTGTTGGAATGATAGATGGAATTAAGGTTAGGATTTTTGATACTCCCGGTCTTAGATCTTCCGTAATGGAACAAGCTTTTAACAGGAAAATTTTGTTGTCTGTGAAGAAATTAACAAAAAAATGCCCCCCTGATATTGTCCTCTATGTTGATCGGTTAGACACACAAACAAGAGATCTTAATGATTTGCCTTTGTTAAGGTCAATAACTAGTTTGCTTGGTTCTTCAATATGGCACAATGCCATTGTTACCCTGACCCATGCGGCATCTAGCCCCCCTGATGGACCGTCTGGTTCACCCTTAAGCTATGATTTGTTTGTTGCGCAAAGATCACGCGTTGTTCTACAGTTGATTTGCCAAGCAGTTGGTGATCTGCGTATGATGAATCCAAGTCAAATGAGTCCGGTGTCTCTTGTTGAAAACCACCCATTATGTCAAAAGAGGGCAGATGGGCAAGTAGTGCTTCCCAGTGGAGAATGCTGGAGGCCCCGATTATTGCTTTTGTGCTACTCAATGAAGATCTTATCAGAGGCAAATTCTGCGGTGAAAACTCAAGATCTTTTTGATCATAGAAAGCTCTTTGGCTTCAGGGCACGTACTCCGCCTCTACACTATTTATTGTCTTCTCTGTTGCAGTCCAATGCTCATCCAAAACTTTCATCTGAGCAAGGCGGTGACAATATTGACTCGGATACTGAGTTGGGTGATATGTCTGATTCTGACCAAGAAGATGAAAATGAGTATGAACAACTTCCACCATTCAAGCCCCTGAAGAGATCCCAGATTGTGAAACTCGGCAAAGAGCAAAGTAAAGCTTATTTTGAGGAGTATGATTACCGGGTGAGGCTTCTTCAGAAGAAACAGTGGAGAGATGAGGTAAAAAGGTCAAGGGAGATGAAGAAGAGAGGCAAAGATGGTCCAGAGAAGTATGGTTACGTGGAGGAAGATGGGGATGATGGAAATGGAAGTCCAGCAGCTGTATCGGTTCCTTTACCCGACATGGCACTCCCTCCTTCATTTGATGGAGACAATCCTGCTCACAGGTATCGATTTCTGGAGCCCACGTCCCAGCTTCTTACGAGGCCAGTTTTGGATGTGCAAGGTTGGGACCATGATTGTGGATATAATGGTGTCAGCCTAGAGAGCAGTCTTGCCATTGCAGGTTGTTTTCCAGCAGTAATTGCGGTTCAGATCACGAAAGACAAAAAAGACTTCAATATCCACTTGGATTCGTCCGTTGCAGCAAAGCAAGGGGAGAACAGATCAACCATGGCGGGACTTGACATCCAAGCTGTTGGAAAGCAACTTGCCTACATTCTCAAGGGTGAAACCAAGATAAGAAATTTCAAAACAAACAAAACAACTGCTGGTGTATCAATTACTTTCTTGGGTGAAAATGTTGCCACTGGACTGAAAATTGAGGATCAGATTGCAATTGGAAAACGGCTGGTTTTGGTGGGAAGTACTGGAGCCATGAGGTCTCAAAGTGACACTGCCTATGGGGCCAATTTCGAAGTGCGTGTCAGGGAAAAGGATTTTCCTGTTGGGCAGGACCAAACCACGCTCGGTCTGTCTCTAATGTGGTGGAGAGGTGACCTTGTGTGCAGTGGCAATTTGCAGTCTCAGTTCTCCGTAGGACGGAGTTCTAAAATGGTTGTTCGAGCTGGACTGAATAGTAAGTTAAGCGGACAGATCTCTATTAGGACAAGCAGCTCGGAGCAACTTCAAATTGCAGTCTTGGGTATTCTTCCAATCGCCAAGGCTATCTTCAGATACATCTCCTCAGCTCAGTGAGAAGTACCTAACTCAATAGGTGCTGTTTTTCTTGGTTCCATCTTCAGAAACATCTCTGTTTATGCCTATCTTTTTTTTGTTCCAATGTTACATCTTTGATGTATTTTGAGTTGATCTAACAAATTGTAGCATTGTTGAGAAAAACTGAGTCATTCAGATTTCATGGGATTTTGGTTCATTATAGTGGTTTAGTTATCTATTTTGACGAGCAATTTGTTGAGTAGTTTTCCTCTTGATCTGTATTGCCATGGAATGCAATGTTCAGACGAATCTTTAGAATTTAAGAGTTATGGACTGCTTTGTGGAATGAAATTCTTTGGTGCTATGAAACTGCACTTTCTGAAAATTTAGCTAGTTTGATTGTGTTTTTTGTATTCCGTCTTTAATTTTGTGGAAAACTGTTTGAGAATAGAAAAAACAAACACTGATTTCAAAATTGTTTTCTGAATTTTCAAAAACTATTTTCACACTAACATGAAAAATGATGAAACAAATGTTTCTGACCATTTTAGGCAGGGGATCTATTTGATCTAATCCAATTTCCAAAAACTCAGTCAATGGCAGCAGCAATAGCCTTTGGTCCTTGGGGAATCTTCTTTTTAATCCACCATGTAAAAAACGTAAAGTTGTAAATGAGTTTAGTAAAAAGCTGTCCTAATTTAAAATTTAGAATAGATTCGTTTGAAATACAAATTGTCTCTTATGGTTTTGAAAATTATATCTCAGTCTTTGAAATTTTTAATTTTATAACCAATGTCTATTTTGTTAATAAGTTATCAAGTTAATTAATAATTCAAGTAATTTTATGATGTTACAAATTTATTTTAATTAATAATTTAAGTAATTTTATTATTGTATAGAAGAGTAATTAGAAATTTTATTTTTTCAATTAATTATATTAAATAAAAAATTATGACAATAGGGTATTTATAATTTTTCAAAGCACAGTAGTAATTTAGGATAAATTATAAACACATTTCCTGAGATTTACTTAAATTACAAATTATCCCTGTGGTTCTAAAAATTACATTATGCCCCATAAGATTTTTAATTTCATAACAAATAGGTCATTTTATTAATAAATCATCAAGTTAATTAACAATTTTTAATAATGTTAAAATTTAATTTCAATTAATAATTTAGATAATTTTATTATTGTATAGGTAAACAATTAGAAATTTTACTTTTTAAATTAATTCTGTTAAATAAAAAATTTCGACAGAGAGGTATTTATAATTTTCCAAACCACAGAAGACAATTCGTATTTTAAATAAATCTCAGGAGGTGTATTTATAATTTATCCTAAAATTTTACTAGTTTAAAAATATTTTTAAGTTTGATTTTTATAATAAATATAAATTTATTGAATTGAGTTGAAAATGAAACAAAATTAATAAATTTTAAAATATATTTACTTTTGATTTTTGTATATAACAAGTAAATCTCAAATAAAATTTTAATGCGCTAAGGGGGCATGCCAGATGGAGATCAGCATTACAGGTACGGACTGATACATCATGTGGTGGGTAGAGTGTATGAAATAGGAGAATAGATGAAATGGGAACATATAACCTCCCTTAGTGTGTTTGATTGGAGGATTAGGAGAAGACTATTTATTATTTAGATTGCTTAATTGAAGGAGTGAGTAGTCTATCGGTTGTTTTTTTTTTTAGTTCGCCAGACATGGAGTCCGGCCGGACTCTTTATCGCCCATATGGGAGATTATACTATCCCGGGGGATGTGGGATAATTTTGAGGAGACAATTTACTGTTGAGATTAAGTAGTAAAATGACCATTTTTACCCTTTACTATTTAATTATGTATTATATTTAATAAAATTCAATAAAATTTAAATGTCTCAATTTAAAAATAAAATAATTTTATTTAACTTTTTATTGATTTTATAGATATTTTATTGATGTTTTATTTTAAAATTTTGTTTATATTTTATTTAATTTCATTATTTAAATGTTAATAGATGTTTTATTTAGTTTCATTGTTTAATTATTATTATTTTTAAAAACAAATTTATTTAAAATTTTAATTAAAAAAACAACATATAATTTTATTAATATTTTATTTATTTAATTAAAAAAAATAAATTTATTTAATTGTGTAAAAAATAAAATAAAATAAATTTTTATTTAATCTAGCTAAAAATAATTAAAATATTAAAGATATGTTTAATATTGCTATTACTTAGTAAATAATTAAAAAATAGTAAAATATTTTTTTTGTTCATTTATCCTATTCAATCCGTCCAACCAAACGTTGGATTCACTAAAAAATAATTCTTTCCAGACATCTAATTCCATGAAAAAACAAATACAGGATACATATCGAATCTAACCAAATAATCTGGGGGATTCACAAGGCTGATGGATTCTAATTTCCCTTTATCCAGTCTGTCCAATCAAACACACCCAGTTTGTACTATGAAAATTAAAAACAGGATATGAATTGCCTTGAATGTGTTTGAAAATTACTACTAATGTTTCTATTGGGTGGGTGGCATATTCTACCCATGGCACCAATCTCATGGTGCTTCAATTTTTTTAAGGAATTTAAGCGATGAAGAGTCTTTTGAATTGACTTATTTTCTGTTATTGTTTGATAGGGTTTGTTTGGCTCCTCTCACCAGGGACAAGGGGGTATGAAGCATCATTTTTTTTTGGGGGAGTTTTCTCATGTACATCTATATTTAATAGGATTATTGAGGTACCTTCCTTTCTTTTATTTTCATTTTGTAAAAAAGATTAAAAAATAATTGTTTCTCATAAAATAAAGTTTCTTATGTGGTGCTTCGCTCATAAAAGTAGCCTGACCAATGATCTCCTCTAAAGGAGAAGACCCAATCATTTTCTCTGTTCTTAATGGAGTATAATGTATAAGAGGGATGCTGAATACACGTATCACTTATTTTTTCATTGTCCGGTGGCTTGTCTTGTGGCAACGTCTCTTTGGTCTTTGTGATGGTCAATGGGTTGCTCTGCGTGTGAGCACACATATGTTGTAAGTTTTTTATAGCGGGTTTGGAAGCCATAGGAAGACCAAAATATTGTAGTCTTGTATTGTCTTTTCTATTTTTCAGATCATTTGGTTGGATTTTAATAATAATAAGGGTTGTTTTGGCAAGCGTAAAAAGAAATTAAAAAGTCAAAAAGTTATCAAAAAAATTAAAAATTTATCACTATTCACCAAAAAAAATATTAAAAAATTAATATACAAATATTAAGTACAAATCAACTTTTTAGCCATCAATGTATTAACGTCAGGCCAGCTTTAGTGAAAAGAAAAAAAAATATATATATTTGCATGTGTACATTCACTAAGTTGGATGGTAGAGTTGGGCCCGTGGGGCCCCACCATGGGTTTCGTTTTGATAATTCAAACCGCTTAAGATGTAAAACTCGTCTAGTACTATATGGCTGTAAAAAATCACGTTTATCGGATATCGCTAACTACATGATCAAATCAGTTTTGTATAAAAATTGATGGTGTTAGAGTTAATAGTTGACAAAAAAAACTAATACAATCAGATAGCTATCGATATCCAATCAACGTGATTTTTAATAGCACATAGTACTTGACGAATTCTACACATTGAACGGTTCCGATTAGAAAAATGGGACCCGTGGTGGGCCCCCACAGGCCGAACAATACCGTCCAATCAAAGCCCGAAAAGGAGGCAATATTTTTTCATGTATTCACCAAGCCGACTGCCTTGCAATCCGTACGGCATGCTAAAGTATCTACTCCTACACACTTCTTTATATAATTTTTTAATAAATATTTTTTCATAAAAAGCCAAAAAGTTAAACTAAACATTCATATTTTTTTCTCAACTTTTTAATCTAATTAATCTAAAAAGATAAAAAGTACACTTATTTAGGACACTTCAAACAACCCCTAAATAAGAAGAAGAAGCTATATGGGATAAGATAAGGCACTTAACTTCAATTTGGGCTTGTGTATCTCTCCTTAATAAAGATATCTTCTGTTTTTTTATTTTTAGGAATTGAACGACTATTTACTACCCCTTAATGACCCTCTAATATAGGTCTCTATGTATATCCACATTTTTTTATTTCAAATTTTACTTTTTTTCATAAAAAATAATTTTTTTTAGAAGTTAAGAAAAATGGAAAGGATGATTTTTAGGACTGTCAAATAAGAAAATAATAATAGAAGAATTGAGAGTAAAATATTTCATTTATCTTTTAATAATTAGATTTGAAATATTTTAAATTAGTGTTTATCATATCTTTTTGAGTTCTATATGTATATTCATATCTTTTTTCTTTCCAATTTTACTTTTTTTCATAAAAAAATAATTTTCATTAGAAATTAGGAAAAATAAAAAGGAATATTTATAAGCCTACCAAGTAAGAAAGATAATCTCAATTTTGAATGAGAGACCAAGTTTGAGAGTTTAGAAACATTGAAAACTATACTACATTTATATATATATGGTATAAATATAAATTTTCTTTCATTCTATTGAAACTATATTCCTTATATTATATAAAAATATATATAGTATAGACTTTCTTTCATTCTATTGAAACTACATTCGTTATAATATACAATAATATTTTCAAAATAAAAATACATAATATATAATAGAAATCGACAATTTGATGACTCTGACTCGTGCCCCCCAAAAAAAAAAAATGCACGATACATAGATTTACATAATTCGACAGGATAGATCGGATCCACGGCTTAGAAAAAGGTATAATGTCACTGCATGTGAAAACAGTAATATATATATTTGGGTTTACATTAACATATTACCATAATCAATATATGAACAATTATATAAAAAATTCCAAGATTTGAGTCTTATAACAAAATAAATTCTGAATTTTAAATTTTGTCAAGTTAAATTTTAATTTTTTAATTTATTTTTAATTTAAACTATTTATCTATTTTTGTTAAATAAAATTGACAAAAAAAGAATATTTTAATATTTAAACTTGATGTAAGTATTAATAAAATGTCTAAAACATATTTTTCATTGATTTTAATGATTCAAATACTTATTTTTTTTAATCGATTTTACTTTAAAAAAATAGGTAAATAGTTTAAAAAGAAAATAAATAAAAATTTAAATTGATAAAATTCAAAATTTATTTTATTATAAAGCTCAAACG